CTCGAAAACCCTTTCTAGCCACTCGCTGTCTCCCTCCCCTATATGGTTGAACTCTATTCCCCCAAAGTCGGCCTCCAATTAACTTCCTCTTTATATAAGTTCTCATAAAACCCTGCTATCGCCCCTTTTACCCCCTCCTCTCCCTCAATCCTCACCTCATCCACAACTAAGGACTCTATGAAGTTTCTCCTTCGATTTGCGACCGCCACCCTATGGAAAAACTTGGTATTCGAATCCCCCTCCTTTAACCAGAGCGCCCTCGATTTTTGCCGCCAACTAGTCTCCTGACCTATTGCTAACTCGACTATTTCCCTCTTAACCTCCCCCAATCTCTCTTTCTCATATTCATCTAACTCCCCCGCCCCTTCCCCTCTTTCTAAATCCCCCAATTCATGCATAAACTCCCTCATTTTAACCTCTACCCTCCCAAAAACTTCCTTATTCCGCCTAATAATATCTCCCTTGAGCAATTTGAGTTTCTTCGAAAGACGGTATGAAGGTGTCCCTGATNCCAAACTAGGTTGGCACTCCACTCCCTAACTCGCACTTTGATGATGGCCCTTTTGTTTGGGTCATTCATCCCCCTCACATTCCATGAAAGGATCTTAACTTCCATAAGCGACAATAGCCCCCATTTCCCCACCCCCCTAGCCGAGGTCCCTTTCTCTCTGTCACACACTCGCCCCCTTCTTTGATACACCACTACATCCCCTAAGTTATTTTGCTTAACACCTTTACCTAACTCCCTCCATGCACCATCGTAAAGAGATTGTTGCTCAATCTCCCTCAACAGTTCTAACACCCTATCTTCCTTCCCTTCAACAGAAACACCTAGAAACTTCTCAAAGTTTAATAGTTTGGGAAGAGCTCATCATAAACGATTGGAATAAGGGATCATGACATTTGAAGTTCATTTTATGCATTTTCAACTGTTTCAGCATAGAAGTAGAACCGTGAAGGAAAGTTTTTTGTTTCAAATATACCGTCTGCTTATTTATCAGTCGTTTTCATGAGCAGCATGAAGGTAACAATTTTTCTCTCAAATATGATTGGTTAATGAATGCATGAGAAGATCATTTATTGCTTTAATGGTTTCCTCTCTACTTCCCTAACCTAACACCTGGTTATGATATACAAACCTATTAACTTTATTGATGTGTTAGGCTCTCCTTTGAAATCAATTGACCAAAGTGGCTGTTCCACCAAGCTGTTCTTCAGTGCTAGGCGTGGAGCAAAACCATCCTCATCTGGAAGATCATTGTCTATTCAAGCGAGATATAGGTATTTATTCATCACGTGCTCTAGTTTTATGCAAGATATGAACTGAAATTATTGGTGCTTCTCTTTAGGTGTTAACTCGGATTTTTGTCAATTCGTTTATGTGAGTTTTACTTACCGCTGATTGGACAAAATATTTCATTGTATAATTATTCTTGTTAAATGGCAGTGATGGTGGAAGGCCAAGCAATGGTGGCTTCTTTATTGGTGGCTTTGTTTTGGGAGGATTAATTGTTGGCACACTTGGTTGTGTCTATGCACCTCAGGTAATCATGCTCAGCTAAAATTAGCTAATTCCTTTTGTAGATTGTTGTTGGCCGTGTAACGGTGTCACAACCCAACATGGAAGCCGTGACTGTTGCTATGTGAGGCTAAGCCCACCTAGCAAGCCTACCCTTTGCCTTGTCGGAAATTCAATAGTGTCCTCTGTACCAGACCATCCAGATTAGCAAGCCTTTCATCAACCCATCATTCCAATCACACACAATATAGTTCCACTCATTTGCTGAAGTAAAGTAATTTCATTGAAGTGGGAGAATCTCCCGTTTATGAGAAGTATACCAAAGAGTAGAGAACACAACTCAAAATATGGTTCTCTACAAATTGAACCCAATCTTCTATACAAACAGGAGCCTTATTGGTGCAACAAGAAAAAAAAATCTAAAGCAAAGCGTTATTCCTTGAGTGTACAACAACAACAACAACAACAACCCAGTGTAATCCCACAAGTGGGGTCTGGGGAGTATAGTGAGTACGCAGACCTTACCCCTACCCCGAGGGAGTAGAGCGTTATTCCTTGAGTGTACAAATTAAAAATCAGTTTCTACTCCATCAAGACGCTCTCCTAGTCCTGTTCTTCCAGAGGATCCACATCAGTGCAAGTGGAGGGACATCCTAATGACTTGCATCTTCTCTTCTGTCTCTCATAGGTCCAATTGTGTAACATGTCCTTCACTGTTTGGCATCTTCCCTAGTTCACTGAACTACTTCAGTACTTATCACCGCAACCATGTTTCCACCTTGTAGTGTAACAGAGGTGGTCCATATCTTCACCCGAGAATTTACTCGTGAAATACCACTGACGTATGTAACCCATGCTTTCTTAGGTTCTCGACTGTCAGGATCGCTCCCCTCACAGTAAACACACCTTTCTTGGTGCTCTAAGTATCCACACTGATACATGCGAGAAGACTGATTCCTGTCTTACTAACGGCTTATGGTAATATGACTTGACAGTGAACATCCAATCTCTCCTCGCCCTCCACCAATCCATCTCCATGAGTCCTGGCGAGTTTTGTTAAAAGCCATCGCTTAAATTGATGAAGCGATGCGAAGTGAATTGCTTCACGGGTGAAGGCATGCGCTCCAGAGAAGTGTGCGCTTCAAAACAATGGCGCAAAATGATCTACAAGAAAAGTGACAGTTCTTTGAGGGTGTTTTTCGTATGACAGTAGTAGATTTTCAGGAAAATGATCCGAGGAAGTCATTTTGTGTCCAAGGAAAATATTGTCCATCAACCAGGTGAAAATGACTTCCCTCACTTATCGATGGAGGTCATTTTCCTTACAACTATCTTGAATTCTAACTTTAAATTATTTGCTCAAACTAACACGTTGACATTGTAATAAATCTTTATTATTCAAAATTTTCATCAAAACATTATTCAGTTTGCTAATATTATTATTAATCATTAATATGTATCTTTTCAAAATTATTATCAACTCACCAACCAAACACCGGAAAGCATTTTCTAGAAAAATATTCTCCATGTAAAACATTATTCATGAAAGCATTTTCCATGAAAAGTGAATTCATCGTACCAAACATACTTAAATCTCAACTTTGAGGAGTTGAATTAATATTGACATTACTATATGATGAAGATAATACTAAATAAATAAAAGAGTGTATCATTTCTAACAACTTAAATGGTCACATATTTCAACATGGTATCAGAGCAAGCAGAGATACCTAGAGATACATGGGTTTGAGTCGCAGCATCACCTATCATAAAAAAGAATGCCATGTTCTTGGCCCATAATAAAGAATCGGTCCAACACCAACACATGAAAGGGCATGTTGAAGCAGAGGTAAACCTATGCTATACAGAGAGGGGTCATTGGCACCCGTAGTTCGGCAATAATTCCATGTTTACATGTATATATGTTTAGAAACAAAACAGATTTTGGTTGAATCCAAAAGTGCATCCGCGACCTTCAAATATAGATCCACCTCTGTGTTGAAGACATAATTAAGTAAAATAAAAAGTGTGCGCTCTTTGACAAATTCGGTTTTAGATGAGATGGTCACATAATGTTAACATTGTATATTGGATGCTGATAGTTGTTATTTTAATTGCAATTTGATTGTTGTAGTATTAAATTCATGTATGTTTGGGCATTTGAAATTTTTCTATAAATTGTGCTCGTCACTCCAAAGAAGTGTGCACTTCACTTCTCGCTCTTTGCTTCAAACGACATGGACCTTGTCACTTTTTGGCACTTCTCTCTTTTAAATGCACTTGTCCTGGCTAGTTTGTCATATCTTGTGTTTGTAAAGCAGTTCCATTATGGAATTTGATTATCTCAAAGTCTTGCACGTTCCTCCTAAGCCTCAGGTCCCATGGATCTCCTCCTTGCATACCTCGGCTCTCCAACAGTCATCTCTCACTGGCTCGATATCCTGTAAATGTAAAGGAATGTAATCCTCAATTGGTTCCTTTGGCTCCACCCGTGACTCTAGAAGCTAATTCCATTCCCAACCCTGAATATAATGTTGCATCTGAAGCCCAACCAAGATTCCCTAATTAAAGCTTGGGTCTTCATCCCAAGGGTTAGAAAGTGAAAGAAATTGGGTTTCAGATAGTGGAGACCTCTTCCCAAAAGTTCTTATCTCACCTCCTTACTCCCAACTGAGTTTCTAAGATTTTTCTTTCCTTTGTATTGAAGAGAATACGTTGGCTCTCTTGGCATTCCCCTTCCTTAGTTCTCCCAAGTTAAGAATGAGAAAGCACCAGAATGGTGTTTGCGACTTTGCTGATTTTTTTCTCTCTCTTCTTATTGTTTATTACATATTGGATAAATGACCAAACTACCCTTTTAATTTTGAGGTATTACAATCGTCACCGCCTTAGTTTTCTATGCTCTAAGCATTACAATTACATCCAGTCTATCACTAGTTGATTGTCTTTTTCAGTTATTCTCTTTTGTAAATGCGCCAACAACAACAACAACAACAACAACAACCCAGTGTAATCCCACAAGTGGGGTCTGGGGAGGG